ATTATCAGCATCCCTAATAATCATCTCAAGTTTGTGTTTATCTTTCCATGCGGATTGGTGTGCATTTCAAGGATCATGGCTTCAGCCGCCTGTTTCAGTTTTGCGATTGGAGTTGTGAAATCCTCTTATAGCACCATCACGATCTGAAAAAAACTCGCATCAATTTCATGCTAATTTGAAAAACTGTTTTTGTTTTTAGTATACTGGAAATTTGTATAAGACTAAAGATTTCAGACGTGGTGTCGCCGTATCATCAGGGACGTCATTAAATTATTTATAGCTGGGAAATTACTAGATGGATTTTCTTAGTAGATGTAGAGAAATAAAGAATAATTATGTTCGTATTATTGATAATCTTATATGGCTCACAAAGTAAACGAGGTAAATATTAAAAGGCTGATCAACTTATTAAGTTTTAATAATGAAGATTTGAAATCTAAAAAATAATAAATATAAATTTTTGTACATCATATTTTTTTTTGTTAGATCATATTAAATAATCAGAAAAATATTCTGGTTTGGTTGTTCTGATGTGTGTAAAAGAAAGTTGGATTCCGACGATTATCTATAAATTGTTTTTTTTTGTAAACAACATAAGTATTCTTCACTATGAGCATTTGTGACAGAAATGAACAAGTATTTTATGTTGTGGCTTTCTTGTTTTGGTTATTCTTCAGTTTTATTGAATTTTCATTTTAATTAAATTACACAAACGAATACTTCTTTCATAGCTAGTGAAGAATTACCAAAACAAGAAAGCACACAACATAATAAAATCAAACTTCTAAATTCTTGTTGTTATCTTGATCTGAACTCATCCAAGGAAGGGCGACCATACTAGGAACATAAACAGTGAGACAAAACTGATCAACCACACAATCTAATTCAATCTTTTTGAACACATCTCCCCTCACAATATAGATGCAAGCCTGTCTAGTTTCATCCCTACAACATGCAACCAAATTCTTTCCATAGATATTATCATTGACCAAGTAATTTGAAGAAGATCCAATATCATGACGATTATATACAATGGGGAAGTTAGGTATTGAGATAGTCATGAACGTAATCCACACCACGACCTCACCATCATTAATTTTATTCTTTGTCACCAAAATCTCAATTTTTCTTGTTCTTTCACATTGTTCTAGCAATGAAAGCCGATCTCCCTTGAAAATTGCTAGGGCATGACTATGGAGAGAATCCTTCTTTTTACACGGTAGAACACAAAAAGGTTTGAAGATCTCCTCAGAAAAATCTAGGCTTCGGATGAAATACTCACTGGTGTCGAAATTATAATCAATAAAATACAAATTCCCATTTATGGACACATTATTAAGTAACGATTGTTTTGTTATAAAATTTACATTGTACTGGTTACCAATATATTTCCACGTATTGGTTGCAAAATTGTAGATAGAAACTCGCCCATAGACTTGAGAGAAATTGTTTCCCCAAAAATAAGTATACCCAACGATCTTGTAACTTTTTTCCGGTTTACTATTATCGTATCCAATACCACATAAACCGGATAGTTTAACTTTGGTCTCAATGCATCTACTTTGTCTCAACCATGGGTTCCAAATAGTGGCTCCAATATTCGAAGTAGACAGTAATAATCCATCACAATGATTAAAGTTGGTATCTATATGAGATTCTAAACCAGGAATCTCTAAGGTTATGTCACGCACCTTTATATTTGGATCGCCATTGAAACTGACGCTTATCGAATAAATTTTGGATTTTGTCGTTATGATGAAATGAGGAGAGGCACGAGCCAAAGCCAAATGATTGTTGATGAATATCTTGTCGTTGAGAAGTGTGGCCCATCTTTTGCAAACTGTTTTAAAGCTAGCGAGAGATGAAGATGGAACCCTAACGAGTATCTCTTCTTCTAACTCTGATGGAAGCTTCTCTATCGCCATTAGATTTTCAATTCTTTAACGATGAAGCTAACTTTAATTTTGTGTGATTCTCTTAGTATTAAGTAAATGATATAAATAGGAGAGAAGAAGATCAGACTTTTAACAAGAAAACAAAAGTGAAAAGCGTTCTTACAAAAGAGGAATTAAGACACATACTCTAACAATGTAACACATGTTTTAATTATATTCATATCTAACTTGGATTACACACAAAACAAACAACATGTTTTACCTAATTTTATGTCATGTGTCATTTATTATATGAGATTACATTTAATTTGTTACTAAACTTACAGTAAGTCATTAATGAATACATTAAATAAAATAAGAAACAAATTTAGTCAAATTGAAAAATAGTAGATTTGAACTAAGTAGTTAAGATTGCAACACAAGTCAATGCCCACACATAGATTTGAACAAACACCCTGTTTCTCATCCGATTGTAACAGCTCAATATCTATTATATTCCAAAAGAACAATTTCTCAGCCTTGTAAAACAACCTCAAGCTCGTAAGAGATGAAGGGTAGTGATGATTCCATGGGCCAAAATCGTTTTGCATATTCCTGTTGCCAAGTGAATACCGTAAGCCTTAACAGCTTCTTCATTATCCTCTGATAGGCTCCAAGGAAGCAGTGAGCTCAACAGGTAGCTATAGCAATTATAGCATGAGCTGAATAGTAGAAATATGAATAATCATTAAGCAACCACAATCATAGAAGCAGTAAACTCAATCTAATCTTAAGGCATTTAAGCACAAAGACAACATTTTCTCCAGTGAAAAAACCATATTATCTCATGAGACTCTGATCGACGATCCGATTAGAGATCAAAATAGAACACTAAGACAACCAACCAACAACGAAACTGGAAAAAGGGGCAGCTGTAACTTGCTTCGACCTGAATGAATCAACGAAACTGAACCATATATAGAACCTAATCTCTAAAGATACACTAAGCTTAATATCCCAAAGTTTTGTAAAAACTGAAATGGATTGATATTCTTTGCATTTTTGACTAAGAAATGAACTTTTATGAGGAAAGAACAAGTAATGATTAATGAAGAATGGCCGAGAAAGAAGGAGAAGGCGAACTTACTTGTGCTGATCACTGCATCAATCTCAGATCCATATAGCGGTTCTGTGTTGACGAAAGGAGTTCCCAAAAGCTTCACGTCTCTGCCTCTAACACTCTCCATACACAGCTCTGTCGAATCCAAGAGTTATGAATCATAACTTATGATCCATAAAGCTGAGTTCCAAGAGGATAACGGAAGAGTTCTCGAGTAACAAATAAAATCCTTGTTTTACCCTTCAGCTCATCATTCATGCAACTATCAAAGACCTTGTTTTACTTGATTCAGAGAAGTCTGTTATTAGATGTACTGCGAAATCAAATACGGATTCAAGTGAATGTGGTTTGCTCACTGATAGATTTATGTCAGCCGTAAGAGTATCAGTCATGTAAGCTTTTCATGCCACTTAAGAAGTAACACCTGCTGAGCGACATGAGAGCATCTAAAGCACTCAAAGGATCATCGAATATGTAAACATCTGAATTTGAGTAGACGGCCCCTAGCCATTGAAACTCTCTGCTTTTGCCCTCCACTAATGTTCTCTGTAAGATCACGACCCTGGATAAGAATTCTCATATCAAGTGCATGTTATGTAAGCTTTTCATCCCACTTAACTGGAAGCAAATCAAGATTGTGTTGTAAGGCAGTCACATCAATAGCCCTCCAATATCTTTCCGATTCAAAATCTGACCCAAATTTAATACTTTTTTTGCTTCCAGAGTCAACGAGAACTAGTAAAGGTGACACACAGTGGCATTGAAGATTCATGAAACTTAGAGCAACAAATGAAATCAAGCATACTCACCTTTCCAGCTTCGCTTTTCCTGATCCTTTCTGCATCTTATTCAATCGGTACGCCACAATATGCTCATCATCTATAATCAGACTCAGTGACTCCACAAGATTCTCAAAATATCTAAAGATCATATACCTAAGAGGAGAATGCCACAGATTAGTCGGAGAATTCAGCGACAAGAAAAATATATAAAATTAAGCAAGGAACACGCCAAAAGTCAAGGCTCTGCAAGTAAAAGGTTCTCATCATTGGTTAAGCAGCAAGCAATACCTAAAAGTGTTGACGGCAAAGGTAAAGACAAATACATGAAGGGATCAAAAGTGATTGAGATTTTTTCACAAACTGGACAAACCAGTGTTGACTTGTATTGACCCTGAAAGAAATCGCATTCAGCATAAGAAACAGTCAGGATATAAAAGACAGAATCTTCCTGTTCTTGTATGAATAATTAAGAAAGGAACACCTCAAAAGTCAAGGCTCTGCAAGTAAAAGGCTCTCATCATCGGTTCTTGTATGAGAGCCTTTTACTTGCAGAGGTATGACTTAATAATATCTCTGCAAGATCTATGTTTCGGCACTGTTATAGTGTATGGCATCAGAAGAGTTAACAGAACTCAAGAGAGATTCCAGACAATGACAATTTTGACAAACTGTACGAAAAGAGACAAAGGTGATTTGACAGATAAGTGTAACAGAGAGAGTTCTCTAGACACTTACATCTTGGTCCATGTGAAGAGCTTGACTCTTCCAGGTTCTTGTTAGATGAAGGATCCAAGGGTCTACTTTTCCTCTTACCAAAGTAATCCCAGATGTGAGCCTGCTTTTACTTTGGACCAAAACTCTCTTGCACCGTCACTTGAGTGATATTCAGACTCTAACTCTCCACCTTGGTCGGCTGGTCTTCCATGGATTCTTCTCTTACTTCTTGCAACATGTCATAATTCACTTACTCAGTTAATACACTCATTGCTCTTATTCACAGTTCCAATCTGTAACACAGCTCAAACGGATTGTCAAACAGTTGCTATGCTTTCCTTCACAAGACATCAACATCGACAAGTTAAACAGAATCGAAAATTTCACCTGCTTTTGTTGTAACTTGTAATATACTAATATTCATTTGAGTTCGATGATTGTGTTCTTAGCTAGCTACAAAAATTAGTACAATATATGAATCTGCGACATAAATTGGTGAAAGATATTTCCGTTGTTTCTCCGAGTATCTAGATTCATAAAAAGAGATGATTTTGGATTTGGAAACTAACTAATGCAAAACATCATAAGACAGAACTCAAAATGTTATCATTAATAATATACAAAGCGAAGATGTCAAACAGTTCATTACATATTAGAAATCTCTGTTATCTTCTTCAAACAGCAGCAATGGTGTTGAACGAATCAGAGAAGCGTCGATTATCTTGATCCAACGCTCCCTTAGTCTCCTTCTCGAAAAGCCAATTCTGGAATGCAGAAGTATCAAAAGCTTCGTCGACATCAGAAGCTTGAAAATCAGAGATGAGATTTGCATCCGTTGAGACATCATCATCAAGTATCGGATTACTCTCCAAGGGCCATTCATTGAACGCGGAAGAATCAAAAGCCGTATCGAAATCAAAGTCCATCTCTTGATCAAAGCTTCCTCCAGTCAAAACACTGTCGTCCATGTTGATGTTGTTGTTCTCCTCCTCCTCTGTAACACAGAAACTGTCACAAAGCGCAAGTATCTCACTCTGCTCTTCAGTGATCGAAGGTGAATCATCATGGACTGCAACGATATCATCAGGGACCATGCGAGAAATTGGATAATCGGATTGACGAATTAGGGTTTGATCAGGGATCTTCTCGTCCTCGCCCCTCTTCAAATCTCTTTGATGATTCTTAGGTTGACAGAAAGCTTCTCCCTTTCGCAACTCCTTGAATTTTGTCATCAGAAACGATATGGAGTTGATAGCTTCCGTCAACTCTTGCGGATTCTCCGATCTAGCGAGAGCTTCGTCCTCCCACCACATCCCTAACCCTAAATGCTTGCGAGCCAAGCATATTCCAGCGTCTTCTCTCGGCTCTTCCCCAACAGGAGGAGGACGATTTCCCGAGAGAAAAGCAGAAACGACGGCGTCCACGGAAGAGTGGCCGAAGGAGTAGAAGGAGGCGTTGGACTCTGAAGAAGGAGGAGTCGCCAAAACGGCTATCTGTGCGCCGGAGAGAAGGCATAGTTGCGAGGCTTTGCTGAAGAGTCCTTGATGACGTTTGGAGTGAGTGACCGCCTTTGATTCTTTCTTCTCAATCTTCTCCATCCTAGCTTTCGTCTTAGTGCCGCCCCGTTTCACCATCTCTCGTTTTTTTCTTAATTTCACAACAGAGCAAGAGAACAGATTTACGAAAGCAAATTTTGTTTGCGTGTGGAGCAGACAATTAATTGATGATGGCCTCTCTCGTTATATATATAAGAGAGTATGTGAAGTTCTCTACAGAAAAGGAAACCTAATTTCGACGTCGTAACCTGCTGTAAACCGGCATCAAACCAATTATCGGTTTAATTTAACCGATTTTAGTTATGTCAGTTCCCGCCTTAAATTAAAAGTTAAGCCGACTTTCTTCTACTAGCCGCCTAACTTGGATTGATTCCGTTAATGTAATTGCTAGACCAATTAAACCGAAACTAAACTTTAAAAAAATTTAGACATAAATCATATTTGCATAACAGCTCTATTCACAAATTGTGAAAATCTATTAACAGCTTTTCACCATCCTCTCGTTTTTTCTTCTTCTTAATTTCACAAACAAATTACGAAAGAGTTTTAGCAAATTTTGTTTGCGTATGGAGCAGACAATTAATTGATGTGCTCTCTACAAAAAAAGGAAACCTAATTTCGACGTTGTAAGGTGCTGTAAACCCATTTTCAAAAAAAAAAAGGTGCTGTAAACCCACATCAAACCGATATGTTTTAATTAAACCGGTTTTAGCTAGTTTATGTCAATTCCCGCGTTAATTAAAACGATGAAACATAAGACTTAAAAGTACCTGCTATCTTCTTAGCTTGGGAATCTTGAGAAGCCATGTCGGTAACTGTACACCATTGAATCATGAGCATCCTCTTTACTGTAATGATGGGAACAAAAGCAAGAAATCTGAGTAACACTTTGAGACTTTATTATATATACTTATGAGAAAGTGGAATTCATAATCTTACATAACATACCTTCTAAGAAGTGACCACAACATTTGATGATGAGATTCCCTGACAAGCTCAGGATCGTCATGCTGCCTCTCACCCAAATACACTATATGAACCTATTTGATCATTCCAAAAGAACCAACATTGTTAGTCTATAGGTGTCTATTCATATGTTTTCCAAGCTGCGATGTCAAAAATGTGTTCTATCGTTGAAAGAAATATTGGGAGAAATATCTGCTAGTATGTTCACACCAGGTGCTGCATTAACAAGAAAGATATGAAAGCAGAGAATCTTACGATGTTGAAATGTATAAAAGGGTTTGAAATATCTTAAGAATCGCAGGAGAAATTGAATCGAGTCCCCTTGATGAGAAAATTGCAACCTTTTGTGGCCACAGGTTGTGCAACAAGTATTCTTGAATCCTGAATCATTATCTGCAAAACCAAACCAAACAGAGTTGTGGTAAATGATAATACATATGTTCTGAACGAAGAGACGGTGAAAGTGCCTTGTGGAGCCTATGCAAAACATAATTTTGGTGGAATAAGCAAGTGTGTTGTTGAGTTTCTTGCAATGAATACTCCAAGACCCGCCTCATCCGCATATCAGTTCTGAGTCTTGAGAAAACAGACTCAAACTTAGAGTCTAAAGTAAAGGAGTGCAATGAACAAAAAATAGTGTGTTCTTTTCAGAGATCATTACTATCGTATGAGGTTAACATTTTGACATGAATCTGGCTTCTTGTTTTTTTGTCTACTTTACTTAATGCATTGATTAATACAAGATTAGTGTGTTCTCTCCTCTACTTTATTATCATCATCCCCACCTTTAGATTATTATCCCTACCATTTAAGCAAACTGTAGAGCTAGATTTACCAACATTTGAAGCTCCTCTGTTGAGTTGAGTTTTATATGCACAAGAAATCAATCACTGACCTTAGGAGAAGAAGGTTTTGATGTATATGAACTTATGAATCATTAACCTTCTCTTCTTCAGTCTCCAAGCTTGGAATCACAGACCCATCAGTATCTGGCGAAAGAAAGAATGAACAACCAAATGATCGAATCAACAAGACTTGCAATCAAGTAAGAAGATGCATACATTGGAACAATGATTTGTTATCTTAATACAAAATCACAAAGCAGATATTTTTACTTCGCGTCAACAAAAGCTTCCAAAATTCGAACTATGAAGATTGAGAACACTCCAATAAATTGGAATTTCGTGGGTTAGTGAAAATCTTAAAAACAGACTCAAACTTAGAGTCTAAAGTAAAGGAGTGTGTCACAGACAATTATAGAGGCTAAAGGGCATCACTTTCAAATATACTGACGCTTCACAACAAGACACTCAACACCAAGATGCTCAATTTTCACAAATCCTATCCAACGCGTGACACAACCAAGACTAATCCTGATGATACCAAAGCTTGAGCTAGTGCAAACATGATTGTCTTCCTTAGAGAAATCTAGGAACTTGTCCATAAAATTCAAAACGGCATTGTAATCTGGTAACTCATTAGAGTCCAATTCCAACCCGGGAATAAAAATTCAGACACTTTTCTACTTCTTGGACAAAACACTAGTGGGAAGATACAAAACACTAGTTGGACGATATCAAAGAGCCCGGTTCAATTTCATTTTCGCTAGCAAAATTGAACCCACGATTCTGCAGTGACAGACCTCGAAATCTAACTATAAGGAGACGCACTTAACACGAATTTCAGAAACAGATCATTAGAACCCTAACTTTCCACATTCCGAAACCAAAAATAAACTGCAGAATCTAGAAAGGAAGGAAGAAGGTGAATTCACCCGATAGATTTTGAAAGACCCAATGGATAGAGACAGAGATAAAATCGCATCACAGGCACTGAGAGAGTCTTTTCGAACACTCTCAATCTCTCAGTGTTACTAGGAAGCTGCCTGTTTTCTTTTACAGGTATTATGGAGGGTGAAGATGGAGCGAAGTGCTCAAATGCCACTTTTACAGAAAAATTGATTTATGTTGCCATTACATAATCTAATACCACTTTCTCATTTAACTAAGTAAAAATAAATTAGTAAAAGTAAAATAAATAAAAATAAATAAAATTAAAATTTGAAAAAAAAAAATGAATTATCGATTTCTCCACTGCAGCTCTACCATCCCCACGAAAGCTTCTCCTCCCTCTTTTCACACGAGCTCTCTTCTGGTTTCCAAGCTCCTTTCCTGAGCTTCTTCTCCCGTCATCCTTTTCGTCCAACCTAGATCGACTCTTTCTCTACTTCGTCTGACTCAGAATTCCAGTCCTCTTTCTGCCATTGTTGAAGATCTCATATTTTGAAGGTTATTTCTTCTTTTTCAATTAGAGTATAAAATTAGGGCTTTGGATTTGAAAAATTAGGGATCTGGATTGGTAACAATGTATTATGGATAGATTAAGCCATATGTTCGGTAATTTGTGAGAAGAACGTGGTTATGTTAATCAGATTCATACACAGAACAACGAAACTCGAGCTCGAAATTCCCAGACTTTTGATAGGAAAAATGGTACAACTAGTACAACTGGTACAACTAAGAGCGAACTGGAACAACTAAAAACTTAAGTTCAACTGGTACAAAGGAGAGCTATAATTCAACTGGTACAACTGAATTCAATTTAGTTCAGTTGAGTTCAATTAGTACAAATGAGAGATGTAGTTCAACTGGTAAAATGAGTTCACTTTAGTTCAACTGAGTTCAACTAGTATAACTGGTACAAATGTGAGGTATAGTTGCACTGGTACAACTGAGTTCAATTGGGTTTAACTGGTAGAAGTGGTACAAATGAGAGGTGTAGTTCAACTGGTACAACTGAGTTCAATGTAGTTCAACTGAGTTCAACTGGTATAACTGTGGTACTTTGTGTTCAGTTGAGTTCAATTGAGTTCAACTGATCAACTATTTTCTTTATATTTTCAGGAGAGCATGAGCACCAACCACACAAACATATATTTTGACTATGGAGAGAGTTATGCTATATGATGAAGGGGAGTTGAAATGGTTTACAAGTAATTCCACATATGATATACCATTTACGAACTTATCATTAGAGAAGATAACTTACTCGACATTAGTAGATAAGATACGTAGGAAGATATGGTTGACAGAGCAGCACATAAGAACTGTTTTGGGGTCTATATTTATAAGTTAGATATAGAGTGACTTATTCTAGAATGCCGCCAGAAGACTCAAGGCTGTAAATGGTATTTACAAGCTGCAAGGTTTAAAAAATCAGATGATTTCAGTGTTAAGAGTATACAAAAAGATGCATATATGCTCTCGTAGAAGGAAAGGCATCCCACGATTAATAGCATCTGTTTTGCAGTGCAGTTTGATTTGTGTGTGTGTGTTTTGTAATTCTCGGTTTTGTACAACCATGTTAGATTATGTACATCTATGAATCTATATGTGTTTCAGTTTGGCGAATTTGTATGACCAGGTTTAACTAGGTACAAGTATGAATAATTCTGAGTTTTATTTTATCGAATTCGCACTTCTAGGTTCAACTGGGTACAACTGTTAACGTTTATGTATTTCTCATTTTCTGATTTGCACTACCAAGTACAACTGAGTACACGTATGAACAATTACACGTTTGTCTTTCTCGAATTCGCACTTATAGATTCAACATAGTACAACTATTAACGATTATGTGTTTGTCATCTCTGATTCACACTTTTAGGTTCAACTGGATACAAATATTAACGTTTGTGCGTTTGCCTTTTTCGAAATCACACCACCCGGTGCAACTAGGTATAATTATTAATAATTTTATGTTTTTCTTGAAATTGCACCAGCAGGTGCAATTGGGTGCAACTGGGTACAACTAATATCAACTTTAGAAGTAAACTAAACAATTATTAAAGCTACAAGTGATGTGAATCAACTAATTAAGATATATAAACACATTTTCAACTATAAGGAAATAATTACTAATATAGAAAATATTAATTTTTTTTTATTTTGATACAATATCATGTTTTCACATCAACCACCCCTTACAATATAAGGAAGATATCAATATTGTTAAGCCTTTTAGGATTAAAAAAATCAAAATATTAAATTCTTCATACATTATACTATGAAAACGTTGAAAATGATGTTTAATGGTCCAAAATCATTTGTACAACTACACCATAATAGTTTAGGGGAAGGTTCAACTAGAAATACAATAAAATTGCAAAAGTACAACTATTAGGAATTTGGTTCAACTGCTTGCTTGAGGACAACTAAGTTCAATTTATTTTGGAAAATTTAATAAATTTTCAGTTTTCCGCCAGCGGGAAGTTTTCCGCCAGCAGGAAGAATTTACAATATTTTAATTTTATTTTCAAAAAGTCCACTTTCACAAATGTTTCAAAACCCTAATTTTATTTTTTTGTTTCTTCGACTTAGAGAGAGAGAGAGAGAGAGAGAGAGATTAGGAGAGAGAGACTATTCCGAGAGAGGAGACGAGAGAGACGATTCCGAGAGAGGAGATGAGAGAGACGATTCTGAGAGAGGAAACGAGAGAGACGATTCCTAGAGAGGAGATGAGAGAGACGATTCCGAGAGAGGATAGGAGAGAGAAAATGCTTTAATTTTTATTAAAAAACAAATTAAACAATTATGAAAAACCATAATTTGTCATCAGTTGAACTTAATAAAACCCAGTTGAACCATGAAACCCACTCAGTCGAACCATGTATTTTAGTTGTACCTCGTTACTTGTGTCATTCGTTGTACCTAATAAAATCCAGTTGAACTTAACAAAACCCAATTGAACCATAAAACTCACTCAGTTGAACCATATATTTCAGTTGTACCTTGTTACTGTGTCATCTGTTGTACTTAATAAAATCCAGTTGAACTTAATAAAACCCAGTTGAACCATAAAACTCACTCAGTCGAACCATGTATTTCAATTGTATCTTGTTACTTGTATCATCCGTTGTACTTAATAAAATCCAGTTGAACTTAATAAAATTCAGTTGAACCGTAAAACTCACTCAATCGAACTCAGTCAAACTATATTTATTTCAGTTGTACCTCACAAACATTATATTTTTCATAGTTTTCACAAAAATCCAGATAAAAAATTCTATAGCTTGATGTTACTGAAGCAACACCATTGAAAGACTAGCAAAATCAATGTTGAACACCACGATTTTAGCACTGTCCATGATAATGGTGGCCATGTAACTTGGATTCTGCTTGTTCCACTCAATGAAACTGACTGAATTTTTTTGCCTTTTGAATATGTTGGCTAGCAATCACACGACAAACAGGATCATGCTGCAAACAGAAGGAAAACTGTACCCTCCAAAAAATCATGCAAAACTTTAAATAAAAACCAAACACTTACTATAGGATCTTAAGCTGGATAAAACAAGAAAAACAAAAATGTAAAAAGCACAATACCTCAAACAATAGAAAGTTAAATGCCAAAATGCAACCGCCAACAAACATTCCCAAGTTGCTGTTCGGATCCAAAATAATCTGATCATCTTGCACAACTCCTGAATCAAGGCTCCCAAGTATTCCTACAAAAAAGGAGACGGTAGCTAATAAGACTCAAACATGATGAAAACAAGAAAAAAAGACCTTAAGCAAGTGAGCAGCTAATCTCGTATGTCAATAAAGAAATTTAATAGATCATATGGTGAAGACAGAAAGAAAAATCGATTAGTTAAATGGTCAGTTAGCTATGCATCCATGTCTTCACCATCTTCCTTCAACTGATTAATGAGCTCTTCCAGCTTCGGCTCAAATATGTCATTGCAAGACTGCATAAAGAATATGAATCTCGTCAGGACAAAAAATAAATTCACACATCATCATTCATTGAAACCTAAGCTAGGGAGAATCGTAAAAATTAATTAAGTTGCAGAATTTAGAGCCCTGAAATTGCTACAACAGCCATTGCTGAACTAAATCTAAAAAAACAAGCGGAGAATTCAATAAAGAAACTCGACACAGCAGCATAGCTTACAGTATAAGAGATGTGCCAAGAAACTCACACAAATCTATAGAAATGACAGGACTAAACTTTAAAAAAGTACAGAAAAAATATCAGAAAATACAATTCAACAAAGAACGAAGAGGAAAATGGAAAACCTTAGTGAGAGAGAGCAAGTAAAGGCCGAGGCTGTTATGTTGAGAAACTGAAGATTAAGGAAAGGGAAGAGACATCAGAGCAGAAGCGCGCATCCATGGCGGCAGAGAAGCAGCGGAGAAACGATGAAGCTATTGAGGAGAGGCTGTCGTCTGTGTCGAGGAGAGACTTCAGATCCGTGACGAGTTCGTAGTAAGATTGAAATTCATCGTCTCCTCCTCTTTCGTTTGAATCAATAAAATGAAAAAAAAATAGATAAGAATCGATGAAGAAGATGAGATGATAATTGAAAGAAAGAAAAAAATTAAATGGATTCTAGTTGAATTAAAGGGTTTGAGTGGTTGGGCTGTGTAATATTTCTAATTTAATAAGGGTTTAAAGGATATTTCCTATGTTTTGATTTAAAAAAAAAAAAAATATATTGTAAATAAGACAATGGCATATGAGATTAGTCCAAAAGTAGCAAACCCTCTTCTTCGCCTGGAGTCTTAGAAGGCATGCTCTTATCACGTGCGATTGGACTGTTCAGACTTCAGATTACAAAACGAACAACTCCATCCTGCGTCTGGTTAAAGAAACGACAAACCGGTTTCGTAGCTGGTTCGATGTGTTTCGTTTCCTGGTTTGCTCAATGTGATTTTCTTTTTTGCTTTGTTAAAGGCTCAATGTGATTTCTTTCTTGTGTATATATTAATTATTTTTGAAAGGGAAAACAATGTTGACAACAAAGTATAAAACTATAAACCTGAAAAAAACAAAAATAGGTACTAAATCGTAATTAAGAATGTTAACATTTGACCTTAGTAACGAAATGGGAACTTTACAACAAGCGATGATGATCAGTGAGTCTCTCTACTCTCTCGTCACACGGTGATTAGAGCCATAAGCACGGAGCGGAAAGAGGGGAACAATTAGTACATTTTTGGTCTGGTCTATTAGTAGAAACTTGTTCCTTGTGTTGTTTCAGATCTTGACTACGTATGAAGTAAACATTTTTGACATGAATCTGGTTTCTTGCTTGGTGTACTTTTCTTACTGCATTGATTACTTATTCCTATGGTTTCTTGTAATACTATCAAAACCAGGGATGTTTTCTACTGAAATGAGAATCTGACTTTTAAACTCAGTATGAAGAGCCAAATGATAACATCAGATACAGAATTTGTTGCCAAGACAAATTTAAGTCTGTATGTATATTCAAAAACTTGGTTTTGCTTTCTCCATTTCAGGGCAAATAAAGGTTCCCATCTAGTTTGAAAGCCACTAAGTTTTACTTTGCTCACCAAGTTTTAAAATACATACCAACAAAAGATGAAATAGACATTGACCAAAGTAATAGTGCCAACTTTTATGAGCAAGATTCATAAAAGGAGTTTGCTTTTGTAACATCAGGACCTTAATAACAGTTTCAACTCCAAGAGCAAGTGCTTTTCTCTTTTCTCATACATTTTTTACAATTGTCAAAAAGATATTCTTCAACCCACTTGGAAGTCATTCCAATTCTTTAATTGCAACACAAGGCAATGCTTATGCCTGTCCATTTAGAGATGTATTTTTTGCATTTCTTCTCTTACTTTCCTTTCTTCGGTTGCTCTCTCTGTTGCAGAACCAAATAAAGAAATGAAGCTAAGCGATTCAAGAGGCAAAGCAGTGAAGAAGCAAAAGCGATTCGTCCATGAGCTTAAAAACATGATCACTTCGTTACACATTGGACCAGAGAAGGCAGGACCGAGCCAATGTGAAGAAAAGGAGAAGGAAGAGGATGGCATCAGAGCCATCACGCTCTCTGGATCGAACCTAGGAGCAACCATGAAGACCGAGCTCGACAACAGTCATGGAGACAACTGCCATGAGCTTGATTTTCTTAGTACCTTTGTTAATAGCAACTTCCAAGCTGTGAACAACTCTCTAATGATAGGGGGCTATAACGAGACTAATGATCCAGGCGTTCATCTTGACATCTCAGGCGATGTGGAGAAGAAACCTTCGATGAAGGCACCGAGGGAGTCGAGGGAGAAGAAGGGAAAGACTTCTGCTACAAGTGATCGTCGAGACTAATAATAATTGGTGAATCTTCATGAACATAACAATTTGGCTTTTGTATTCATTCTCTTATATTCTTTGTCTTCTCTAAATAAACAGAGAAGTGGTGTGCATACTAAAGCACTTTACTTTCTCTTCGAAGTTGTATGATACCTTAAAATATGTTTTTTTTTTGTAATCTTTACACAAAAAAACACATATGGTTGAAACTTGCAAGTCTCACTCTCATCCTAGGAATTTGATGACACGAAAAAAGAGAACACTTTGAAACCTCATAAGTTTAAGAAATAAATATATGACAAAGCTTCTGAATATACGTGTGTATACATGTAATATTGTGTTCATCGGATCATCGAAGCAACAAACTAATTATTTTGAAAGAGATGGAGAAACCTGAAAAAAGAGGGGCTAAAAGGAAAAAGAAACAGAAGATTACTTAGTTGATCTCAATAAAGAGACTTGCCTGAGGATGCAAACCTGCCTCTTCCAATGACATTGACTGTTTGTCTCTTCCGTAAACTGTCCTTGGGAAGTTCGTTATTAAACTGTATTCTTCTGTATCTAGCACTCCAAGTGAGTCGACGTAGTCGTACAATGTCTGTATCTTGGTTTTGCTTTCAAACCTCCTCCCCTTTCTTTCTCCATTCGGGAACCGTACCAAAACCTGCATTTCAAAGCAAACAATCGGTTCAACCAGACCGTTCCAAGTCCAAAGAATGCAAATTTCAGATTATGGAACCTAAAGAGGCACTAAGTTTTATATCACTCACGAGGTTTTGAGTATCAATAAAAGATTTGAAAATGAGCAATGAACGGGCCAAGGAAGAAGGTTAGCTTACTTGTGTAACATCAGGTGCTTTCTCAGGTTCGTCTCCAAGAGCAAGTGCTTTCTCTTGTCTCATTCTCACTCTAGCAGCTTCTCTCTCTTCAGCTTCACGTTCTGCTCTCTCCTGAGCCTCTTCTTCTTCCTTGAGTTTCCTCTCTGCTTCAGCAGCTTCCCTCTCTAAACGCTCTTCCTCTTCTCGCCTCTGTCGCTCCCTTGCCTAATCAGCAGAAATAAAGATGCCATAAATTTAGACAATAGACATAAATCGTAAGAGATCTGTAAACTATGGACGGGGTTACCAAAAACACAAAAAGGAAAAACATACTTGATCGGCTTCAAGAGCAGCCCTGTAAGCAGCATCTTGTTCCTCTCTCAGGCGCAAATTGGTTCTTCTTTCCTCCGCCTCAACCCTAGCAGTTACCAGAACAGGTGAACTATCTTCTACAACTCTTTGCAGTATAGTAAGCATTTCTTCCGGAGTTTTTGGTCCCTCGACCTGCCACGAGCAACCAGAAAAAAAGAAAATGACAAACTTCAGAACTATTAAACTCATAAAAGCTGGAAAGAACTTTACACTAAATGTAAGACATGTCGGGTCTGAGATAAAAAACCAGAATCAAACACCTATCTGTATCCCATTTACTACTAATCACTTCAACAAGATAATAAAATGGACTCGATTCCAATACAGTTCATAGAGAGGACTATAATCTTGCTACCGGATTCATAACCAAGTCTACCTGAAGTTGATATACTGCCTATTTGTTTTAGATATAGGCAAATCAATGAAAAGCAATCCAAGAAATGGCTATATATAATCTATGATCAAACAGAAAAATGACTGTTTCATACTACTAATCACTTCAACAAGTTAGTAATGCGGACTAAGTTCCAATGCAGTTCCCTATTGTTTTATGCAAATACCAATCACCTAAGAGAAGTAACAATCTTGCTATCAGATACACAACCAAGTCTAGCTGAAGTTGATACATTTCCTCTTCAATTACACACAAGTCTAATCTACGATTCGACAGAACAAAGACTGTTTTTTTACCTGTTGAAGAAGAGCGATTCTCTGGTTAGCAGCAGGCATAACCACAGCGCAAAAGGGAAACCTCGAAGCCTTCAAGCTATTACTCATCTTAAACCCTTCACTAGATCGAATGCTACCTCCCCAGGTAACAAAATTCTCGTTCAGAAATGCCACAAACGTTTCGTTGCAGAGCGTCCCGTCGCAAAACGCAGGCGTATCAGGATGGTCTGGAGAGTGCAAGTAAACGAACAAGAGCTTAAACGAGCTCCTCGACCTCTGAAGCGCGTCCATGAAACCTTCCAATACAAAATCAGGCTTGAAAGGGTTTCTCCCGTAATCCCTATCGAACAAGGCGACGAACTCCATTGCCTCACCCGCCGCCGAAGAAACCGACGACGACGCAATCCGAGCAGATGATGACGACGGCTCAGAACCACCTCGACCCGATCCAAACCCTAACATACCAAGCGAATACGATAAAACTCCACCAGCAGCCCAAAACCCGAACCCGATCGCGCCGGAAACTAACCCTAAGCTACCGGAAACGATGGAAATCGGTAAAGTGATAACCCTCCAAGCTATTCCCGGAGGTCTGAATCCTCTTCCTTCGTCATCGCGCAGGACGAGTTCTGAATCGTCAACGATTCCGCGAGAAGGGTAATCGTCCAATCCGGGATTCGCAGTGTCAGCAAAGGCGGCGGAGCGATCGCGATTGCTACCACCGTCGACGTGAGAAGACGAAGCGGCAACATCATCGCGAGGGTCCGATGATGTGAAAGAGGAGATTGCGAGTTCGAGGTCCCAATTATGGGCTTGGAGGATCTCGGTACACAAATCGGGATCTTCAAGACCTGTAATCGCTTGGAAGTAACCCAATTTGTCGGCAACATCAACCATTTTTACAGAAACTGTGAACCTCCAAAGGATATTTTTCCCTCGCTTTTTCTCACAAAGAAAGGGATCTTTTCACTCTCTATCTCTCTCTTATCTCTCTAGAAAGTAGGAAACTGTGCTGAATCATGGTTGATCTGTTCAATAACAATGACGATGGCCTCGACTTTTAATTACCGAAATACCCCTTGAACTTAACACGACGACGTTTTATGGTAAACCAAACTCAAAATTGGTTTAATTAAACCATTTGTTAGGATTCGATTGGGCTTCGATTGCTCCGTAGCCAAGTTTCAATCTGTATACTTCTTTTGTATATTTGAACAAAACAAAGTACTGATTTTTGTATACCTTTCATCTTTGTAGAGCAATGTTTTTGTTAATCTTCTATTGTTGTTTAACTTAATGAAGTATTTTGTAAATACTTAGAAATCACTTAAGAAAATAATCAAAGAGTTGTGGAAAAAATGAGGGATTTTTTTTTTTTTCAACACCATCATCTTTAAACCAAGTCGGTGGAGTTGAGTTTACATATTTAGTTGATGAAGGCATGTGCGGGCACCTCGTGCTAATTTATCTGTCTTCGTGTTCTGCGCTCGCGGAATATAAGCTCTGGAGAAAGAAATAAATTCCTTCCTGCTTGTCTCGAACTCTTCCAAGAGTAAAGAGAACGCTGGCCACTCTGTTGGATTAGACACCATCTTCACCAAATCAGAACAAACTGTGAGGAAAGTCATCTCCAATCTGTGTGCATCCAGCATGCTATGCATTGCCCATATCATTGCTTCTAGCTCTGAGTGTAATGCTGACATACTGCAGCGAACGTTTCTTGTACCCATTAAGGTATTAAATACTCCAATTCGTTGACAATACCATCCTAATCCTGAATAGTGACTGGATTTTTTCCATGAGCCATCCGTTTGAAAAGTTAAGACGTCCTTATAGTCAACTAATGTTCCTGCTATCCTTGATGGATTCATATCCAGTATATTTGTTTGTGCTTCCTCCCAAGCGTTTGCTTCCGCTGTTGCCAGTCATACCACTTCTCGTGGATCCCGATCAATATTTGAAAATATCTTGTCATTCCTCATTTTCCAGATATACCATATCAGCCACATGTATACTTCCATATCTTCGTACTTTGGCAAATGCCAAAAAAGATGTGCCATATTTGTAAAGAGCACATCCGTGGGGAAACCATGTGTTGGAGTTGGGATAGGTGATAGTGCCCATACTTGTAGAGCTGGTGGACATTCGAAAAGTGTATAATTTATCGTCTCGCGTTCAGCCCCACACCGACTACATTGAGGGTCACAATTAATACCTCTATTCCGAAGCCGGTCGGTAACTGCCAAACATCCCGAAATGGCTTGCCATAAGAGATGTTTCATCTTTGGTGGGCATTTAACTGACCACACCTGTGCTTGTAGCTTACTCACGTCTGGCCCATATAATTGAGGTGTCGTGTTCAAAAGATTTGTTTCTTGTTCCGTTAGGTACCCAGATTTAACTGTGTAACGTCCATTCTTTGTGAAATGCCTACACATAAAATCCTGTCTCTTATGCCTAGAGATAGACAGTCCAATAATAAGAGAAACATCCTCCGGAACAATTAATTGTACTAAAAGTGGTATATTCCACGTTGAGGTTGAGGGGTCAATCAGTTGATTAACCGTTAGTTCGGGATATAGGTTATACCCTTTGCTTATTGCTGATCTCGGGCGTGAGTCAGAAATTCAAGGATCATTCCATACTGATATGAAATGGCCGGACCCCACTCTTTTGATGAGCCCTTGATATACCAGAGATCTAGCAGATATAATACTTTTCCACCCATACGATGCAGAGTACGATCGTATTGGGTCAAGCGGCGTACCATTCCGAAAATAATGACCTTTGAAAACCTTTGCAAAAAGAGATTCCGGGTATTCTATAAGTCTCCACAGTTGTTTTGCAAGAAGTGCAGTGTTAAAATCCTCGATTACCCTGAAGCCAAGCCCTCCTTCCAATTTATGTTTACATAGTTTATTCCAAGCTTACCAATGCATACCCCTTGTCTTTCCATTGTTGCTCCACCAGAATTTTACGACTGTACTGGTTAACTTAGTAGTCAGTGCTTTTGGTAGTTTGAAACATGACATATCATACGTCGGGATTGCCGTTGCTACTGGTTTAATGAGGACCTCCTTTCCTCCTTTCGAGAGTAATCTTGACGTCCAACTATTTACTCGTTTCTGTTGCCTTTCGAGAAAAAAATTAAAGATCTTTGTCTTTGCACCCCCCATACTTTCCGGTATCCCCAGATATGTACCCATACCTCTAATATTTGTAATACCCAATGTGCTGTGGACCACTGCCCTTGTACTTGGATCGACTGTGTGTCCAAATTATACCGATGATTTGTCAAAATTTATTTTTTTGTCCTGAAACTGCTTCATACTCGTTGAGGATATGAAGCAGAGCTCTAGATTCTTCATGACTGGCCTTACAGAAGAAGAGGCTATCATCTGCGAAAAGCATATGAAAAAGCCGAAGGACTAGCCCGAGCAATCTTCATTCCCGTAAGTAATTTGGTTGTCTCTGCCTTCTTCAACTTCGATATCAGGACTTCCGTACATAAAAATAAAGAGGTATGGAGATAAAGGATCCCCTTGGCATAGACTCCGTTTGGGTTTTACGTGACCCTGAGGATGACCATTAATAATAACCTTATATTGGATGGACTCAATGCACCACATAAGCCACGTGATCCATTTATCCGCAAATCCCATTTTCCGAAGTTAGTGTTCAATAAAAGGCCATTCAATACGGTAATAAGCCTTACTCATATCCGTTTTCACCGCCATATAATCTTTCTTACAGGACTTATTTGTTCTGAGTCCATGAAACATTTCTTGTGCGATCAGAATATTATCCGAAATAAGTCGACCGGCCACAAAAGCTGACTGAGTCTCCAAGATAAACTTTGGTAGTAAACGTTTTAACCGCTGACATAACACCTTAGAAATAATCTTATATCCCACATTGCATAAACTAATAGGTCGTAATTCCGTCATCTTGGTAGGCCGATCCGTCTTTGGGATAAGATAAATATTTGTTGCATTTATCCTTTTATCAAAGGAGCCCGTAAAAAAAATTATTTACTATTGTAACTACGTCGCTCTATATAATATCCCAAGATTTCTAAAAAAATAGTGCAGTCATTCCATCCGGCCTCAGAGCCTTTCCCGGATGCATCATAAACAACACAGTCTTGATTTCATCCTCTGTTGCTGGTTTAACCAGTTCCATGATTTCCGTTTCAGTGATAACCGATGTTATTTCTGAGCATGCATTCTCAAAACTGGTTGGTGATGTTGATGTAAACAAGTCATTAAAATACTCCACAACAACTTTTTCCACCCTTTTTTCCCCTTCAACCCAGACGCCTTGTTTATCATGCAGGCCCACAATCCTATTAATTGTCTGTTTTTTCTTTGTAGTAGCATGATAAAACTTTGTATTGAGATCCCCACACCTATTCCACATGTTCCGACTTTTTTGTTGCCATAAGAGTTCTTCATCCCGATACGCGTTTTTGAGTTCATTTGTTAGTTCATTTAGCTCCTCTTGTGTTCTGCTATCGTCATTCTGGAGGTCCTCAAGAAGTCCTTGTAACTCTCCTATTTTATCTCTCCCATAGGGTTGGTTTTCCTTTCGCCAAATTGATATCTCATGCCGACAAGTATTAATTTTCCCAACGATGTTCCGGTCGTTTTCCAAGTGATCCTTCTGCCATCCTCGTGCTATTTCCTCCATTAGACCTTCCTGACCTCGGGGATAGGCATATGAGCAGTGCTAACTCAAGATAAGAAGCCAGTGGCATTTTTCAGCGAAAAGCTAGGAGGAGCTACACTCAACTATGCTACATATGATAAGGAGTTATACACTCTAGTGAGGGCTTTGGAGACTTGGCAACACTATCTAATTTCAAGAGAATTCGTGGTCCACACTGATTATGAAACACTGAAGCACCTTAGAGGACAAACTCACCTTAAGAGAAGGCATGCTCGTTAGATGGAGTTTATAGAGACTTTTCCCTACATCATCAAGTACAAGAAGGGAAAAGACAACATTGTAGCGGATGCTTTATCACGAAGATACACTTTAATATCTACAATGGAGAGCAAAGTCATGGGGTTTGAGTTTATCAAAGAGCTTTACCGTGAAGAAAAATACCTTATGGAGATATTTGACGAGGGCAACAAATGAGCGTTTGGCAAGTTATACATATTTGAGGGTTTTCTGTTTAGAGAGAAGCGGCTATGCATTCCTCAATGTTCTTTAGGGGAACTAATTGTGCGTGAGGCTCACAGAGGAGGGCTTATGGGGCACTTTGGGGTTGACAAAACCTTAGCCGTGGTCAAGGAGCACTTTTATTGGCCACACTTGAAGAAGATGGTTGAAGCTCATTGTTCAAGATGTGTTGTTTGCAAGAGAGCCAAGTCCAGAGTTCAACCTCACGGCTTATACTTACCACTACCCATTCCAACAGCAACTTGGGTTGACATATCAATGGATTTCGTTCTGGGGTTACCAAAGATCAACCATAAGGATTCTATATTCGTGGTGGTGGATAGATTCTCTAAAATGGCACATTTCATCCCTTGTGCTAAGGTGAACGATGCAATACAAACCGCAGATCTATTCTTCAAAGAAGTGGTACGACTACATGGAGTTCCAAGAACCATAGTCTCAGACCGGGACAGCAAATTCTTGAGTCACTTTTGGAGAACCTTGTGGAAGAAGTTAGGGACTAAACTCCTTTTCTCTACCACTTGTCACCTTCAAACGGACAGCCAAACAGAGGTCGTGAACCGCACACTTTCAGCCTTGTTAAGGGCGACTATTGGAAAGCATATGAAGAACTGGCTAGAGTGTATACCCTTCATTGAATTCGCCTACAACAGAGCTCAACATTCAGCTACTAAGATGTCACCATTTGAGGTTGTATACGGCTTCAATCCTACCACCCTTCTTGATCTAACTCCTTTACCTCCAGCAGAAACGGTCAGCTTAGTTGGCGAGGAGAAATCTAAGTTCATCAAAAAGCCCGAGAGAATCTAGAGAAGAGAACAGAGCAATATACGAAACAAGCCAACAAAGGAAGAAAAGAGATAGTCTTTCAACCAGGAGAATGGGTTTGGCTGCACATGAGGAAAGAAAGATTTCCCGACCAAAGAAGCTCAAAGCTTAAACCAAGAGGAGATGGCCCATTCAAAGTCTTAGAGAAAATCAACAACAATGCCTACCGTCTTGAATTACCAGGTGAGTTCAATGTATCCTCTACGTTCAATGTTACTGATTTAGCTCATTTTCTTGCAGATGAAAACATTTTGGGGTCAAAATCCATTCAAGAGGGAGAGAATGATGAGGACATCTCAATTGAACCGGACTTAACCTAGTCTCAACTACAAGAAATAGAAGTACTTGTCCCAAACAAAGGAGTTATAACAAGGCAAAGGGCCCGTGCACATCAAAACAAATACAACTAAACCATTTTACGAGCCATGACCCAGTCTAATGAAGGAAGCCCAAGTTTATTAACTAAAGCTGCATGGAATGATACATGGGATATCTTAGAAGCTACAGATCCAACAAAGACACAAGTAAGCTGGCCCTTATCGTCAAACAAAGCCCATGCCAATTTATTTGTTATCTCTACACTTGAGAAAAGCACTTAGAAACCAAGGATCACGGTCAAAGGAGAATACATTACACTTACTCACGCCAAAGCCAAAGAAGATAAGTCTTCAGTCTTGTTAAATTATATTGATTCATTTGACTAACATCTTTGTGTTTTCTCCTTATGATCTTTATCATTTATAAGTCTTTTTATTTGTTTTAATTAGCTAAGGCATTGTTATTAGCCAATAATTTTGCATTTTCATTCCAATAATGTTGCTTTTCATTTATGTGTAATTTGCTTCAAGTCCCCTAAAAGGGCATAGCTCTTCAGACCACTTTATAAGGTCCCCTCTCACAGCCTTGCATTCTTACCTTGATTTTAATAAAAATCTAAATTTTCTTTCACAAAGTTTGCAATCAAAACTTGTGTTTATCTCTTCTTTAATTTTGTTGAGACCAGCCCTCCAAAACTAAAGAGAAACCGTGTTGTATCAAAGTCCCTCTCATCACCTTTGTGGTACACTTTGATCCATTCGGCCATCCTATTTGGTCAGTTCAATCCCCTGTCAGATAGTCTGAGTTCATCGACCTCTCGACCAATTTTATCATACCACCGTACCGTCTACTGTCACGTTGTACCATTCCATCGTCACGCCCCGTACCGCGCCTGTCCCGCATTACGATACCATCATCACGCGTCGTACCAGCCATCCCATTCATACCATACCACCATACCGTCCCAAACACCGTCCCACGCCATCACTCGTACCGGTCATTATATACTCATCCCGTCCGAGCCTTGGTCCCATAGCCTGAGTTCCTCGGCTGTTCGATCTTAGCCTTCGTCCCGTTCCATAGTTCAGCCGGTGCTTGTATCAAAACCCGAGCCCGAGCTACTTTCGACTCGTCTTGGTGCGCGCGCATATGATTTAGTATGAATTCACTCTTCTCTACAATTGTCCTAAGGTCTTTAACCTTGTTAGTACTTTTCTATTTTTACTGGTCCATTTTGTGTATTTCAAACAGCAAACATTAGACAAGCATTTTTCATTCAAATAAACTCCAATTTTAATATATGCATACACTCATAATCCGGTAATTTTTTCAGAAATATGTCGGGAATTGTTCAGAAATATACCGATGCAACATACCTTAAAATTGAGTTCCAACAGTATATGGTTTACCACCAAGATATTATTTTCTCTCTTGCCTCTTTCCTTTCGGATGCTACACTCGATCACATCGTCTTATTCATTATGACGTATGTTTTCGAAGCGGTGGTACATGGATTATGGAAAGAATGATATCATGGAAAGTCACGGAGAAGCCCCTGTAAGACTCATCGAAAACATTTGACAATATTATATGAAACAGAATCCGAGGAGACAAAAATATGAGGAGGGTTTACAACTTTGAAACAGCTAAGAATATAAATTTCCGAGTATTAGTTTTTGATTTGATTTTATAAATTCCTATTTCTTTTGAATTAGGATTTTGAACAAAGTTTAGTATTCCTTGCTTGTATTGAATCAATCACTCGAAGAGCTCTACAGATGCGGTGGTGATGAACTTATCTTCCATGTGGATGAAAATTTTACTGATGAAGTAAAATATTGAATCAATCTTTAATTTCTGTTTTTTTTTTTGTTTTCTTTTGTCTTACAGAAGTGTGCCGATTGTTCTGCGATCAGTTACGAGGATGGGGTTGGTATGTGCATCCTGAAACGATTCAAGAAAAAAGGTTTTTGGAGAACAATAAACTGATCATAAAAGTCGAAGTAAAAGTAGTTGAAGTTGTTGATGAAGGAGTAGTGACTGGGAATGAGATGACAGAGTTCAATGGTTTCCAAGTTCTTTATCCCAAGGTATGATTATATGGATGCTTTTTGTTTGTTTGTTTTTGATTCACACTTTTGTTGATCTCTTGTTGACATACTTACATATTTCTTTCTCTTGATAACAGGTGGCTTCAGTGACTAGGCTTTTCCAGGAGCACCCGGACATTGCCAAGAACGTGAGAGAAAAGGACCAATTGGTGAAGGCAGCATACATGAACGACCTCCTCAGTCTCATTGAGACACTGAACAAGCCTCCATGTACCTTATCCGTGACTGAGCTAAGCAAAGATCTCAGGGAGTTGATGGAGCTAAAAGAAGCGGGCTTCAAGCTAAACTGGTTAAAGAAAAAGCATGATGAGGTTTCCTTGGAGTGGAAGAAAGCAAAGTTTGATGGTACTCGAGACCAAGAATTTGAGAAACACGCCAAGAATCTCAAAGCTGAAGAACATAAGGAGAAGGTCAAGGCTGCTACTTGTGCTGCTAAAGAAGACTGGCTCAAGGGTGTTGTTCGCTCTTGGAATGAGTGGAGAGTAAGAATGGGTTTTGTTGGTAAGGCAAAAATAAACTAAACAAAAAAATACATATTTATTACAGTTTCCGTTGGAAAAATCGAACCCATTATAAAGAATCCATCTCGGCAGGTGCTTATGCTTTGCGTCACAAGTCTTTTAATATTTGAATATACGAAACAAGTTTTTTCCCATTTAGTTTATACTACCCCATATAATGGTAAAACAGAGAGATGCAATAAAAGTGGGAATTAATTTGAATATCCAAAGAGTTTTTTTTTTCTTTTCTTTTTCTTTCTTAGTGAAGTCAGATTGAGTATATCTGCATATGTAGAGTTTGCACGACGAGTACATGATTGATGAGTGAGATTCTCATAGAGGCAGCAGAAGCTAAAGGATCAGATGATGACTCTATAAGTTGAACAACAAAAACTAAATAAAATAAAAATCTAAAACATTCATCTTTTAGAAATATATATAATATATACGTAACAAAAAAATAATTTTAAAAAAGAATTAACACAACTGTATTTTTATATATGTGATACAAAATTGTCTATTATCTTTATAAAAATAAACTTATAAAACTTTATTAATATATTACTTATTATAAAAATATATATGTAATACATTTACAAAAAAATAGATTACTCTTGAATCAGTAAAATAAACATTAGATTTAGACAGACAACTTCTCTGATGAATATTGTATCACGATGAAGCCACCGTCATAGACTAGTCATATAGCTTCAGAGCATCTCCAATGTATAATTCTATTTTAAATTTCAAAATAGAATAATTGTAAAATAGAATTGCATTTTCTTCCAATGTATGATTCTGTTTCCCATTCTATTTCTTTTTCTGTTTTATTATTAATTGCTAGTTGATCCATAGTTTCTTCAAAATTTACAAATTGATTCAATAATTTTTTTCAAATTTTTTATAAATTATACCAAACTTTAAATTTAATTATTTTAATACAAAAAACATTACACTATAACAAAATGATAAAAAAAATTTTAATTTTAAATATTTTTGTTTTAATTTTAGTGTTTTAATATCTATAATTAATTAATAAAAAGAAATTATCAATAAAAAACATTTTATTAGTTTTAAAGGACAAATATTTAAAACATGAAAGACTAATTTATAATTAAAAAAGTTCAATTCTATAATAGAATTGAGAATGAGATGGTTCCAAATTTAGAACAAGAAATAGCATTATTCTATTTTAGAATCAAAAATAGAATAGGATTGGAGTTAAATACTAAAATAGAATATAGCACTAGATTTGTAATGGGGTTGGAGATGCTCTCAATACTAGGGGTTTGGCAGCGAAATAGTTTAAGCTTCCATCAAACAAGGTCTACGTCTCCAAATCTGCCATACCACTAACTGCTGTCCAATACTGTACATGTGTTTGTGTCTATTGTGTAAAGTATCTGATGGATAAAAGAACATGGACATGTATTTGTGCGGTGCGATTTGAGGCTTCAGGAGGTGCCATTTAATCTTTCTCAGGTTTGATTCATGTCTTTTACTATATTCAGAGAAATAGCTTAAGATAGATATACACACCAGCATAAAGATACATAGTGTTGCACAGCAGACCTTTTAAAAGATGATCAAATCTAGCAAAAGATTTTTTGATTGACCGTGAGTTTATTGTCAATACGACGAAAGTTTTTCGATAAAGTTATGTACCATCAACATGTCCATATGGTTTGTCCATGTGTTTGTGTCCACCTGCAAACATGTAAAACACTATTTACTGTGAGTTTATTATCAATTATGACCATTTAGTGGCATCTATCGTTTACTATCAATTTAGTGAAGTGGAACAAAGCATGACAATAAAAAAAACGTATCCACCATTTGTTTTCCAGTTAAACATGTCTATCCAAATATAAACATTATCGAACATATAACACTTTGACTGAGAACAATAAGGATTGTGTCCAAAGCAAATATGGTTATAAACGGTAAGGGCTCGATCTAGTTTATTGTCCACCGCATCCTATCCATTATAAATTGTCCATTGAAAGTTAGTTACAATAGATCCTTGTGACACAACAGATTCGTTTGGAGCAACAAGAATTTACACCATCATGAATGGCCACAATCAAAGATGTGATCGAACTCTACTCCAAATTGGACAACTAAATCTGTCCACACAAACCTGTCCACGAAAACCTGACAATCACCTAAACATGTATAAGACACATTTTAGTCAATCTCAATAAGATTATTCCGCACCAAAAAAAAAAGATAAAGACATTATAAGTGACCTGAACCTGGCAACACCAGATCGGTTCTTCAGCCTTTTGGCCTGAAGTCACAGCAGAAGCGAATGGATCGATCCTTCTGCCTTTTGACCTTAAGTGAATAAAAATAAACATGACCGCCATATCTTGTCCATTGAAGCGTATCCACAATCTGAAAATCTCCGCCATACCAATAAACATGTTCACCATAGCTTATCGATTTGATCATATTCACAAATTTGAGAATGTCTTACTTTTATTTTGACAATATCTGGATGCCTTAGGAGTCAGAGACGCTTGACCTCACAAAGAATACAAAGATCATCAGAAATATATTCTTTTCTCATCTGTAGATTCTTTTTCTAGTGACTTCAAGAATTTTAAAACTGTTGACATCACCATAGTTGGTGAAATTTTTTATCTCTTTTATGTTCTATTTGGTCACCAAGTAAAGAAACAACACAAAATCAAAATCCAGCCAATTATACCAAGAAATTGCTTTAGGATATCTCATAAAAATCACATTCACTAAGTATGATGGACACTTTATCATGGATTAAAGTTCATTCTTCTGGGAACTTTTTCATGATCCTGTCTTCCATTCAGGAGACGCGGTTTTCTTTTTCAACCAGTCTAGTCATCAACTCTGCAACCTCTTGTTTCAATGCGAGTTTCCACTGCGAAGGTTGTTCCTCCCGTGAACATCCAGGCTTGTAAATTTTGGGAAGACATTCTAATTCGAAGAAACAGCCCATGCTTTTTGGAGTATACTACAATATAAAAACATTATTATTAGAAATTACATAAAATATTAATTAATTAAGTAAATTTAAATTGGGTGATTAATCTCATAAACCATTGCATTAACTTCCTCTCGGGGAAGGTCTTCGACGGGCATTCCTTGCTGAGATAACTGAGTTAGTTGTTCTTCCTTTTTTCTACAGACCTTCTCGACAAGATCAATGTCAACTCCACCTTGCAACTGCTTAGTTGTCTAATTGGTGTGGGTAACTTGCACAAGGTCATAATAACCAACCTGAACACCATTATTTTCTTTTGCCTAAAAAATATAAATAGTTAATAAAAAGCTAAAACAAGAAGTAAGAGAAAACAAATATTGTGTAATTTTTACCAATTTGTCTATTCGTCAAAGAAAACCCATAGCTTCCGAATTATGTGTTGATATCCCTTTACCACCTCGGTCGCTTATTCATTTTTTGGAATTCCTTTTCGAAATTCTCTCTGTGTCATCGTTGGCCCAATAAATTTGGAAAGCTTCCCAAGAAGTATTGATCAAACTTCTTGGACATTCAAGGACACCATTCCTCCACTTTTGCTTTCACTCATTCATGTGTTTTGAATACTAGAGAGCAAATTTCGAGTTGAATTCGGCTTTGACCTTAGAAGTGTGAACAGTGTCCCAATAATAATCTTGCTACATATTCAAAAGGAAAAAAAAGATTAAGAATTATTGTTTATAAAAATAAATGATATATAATTTTTTTTTACATAATTTACCGCGAAACAACGAAACCATATTTCTTGCTCCTCAAATGGCATTTTAGAATACTTTTCAGAAGGTATCCTGAGCATTCCATGCAACATCTTTAAAATGCATTTAGTAATACCAAAGTCCAAGTCGAACCAAGTCGAATTTCTCATAGATGAGGATCAACCTTGATCTTACTATCCTGGTCACTCTCGATAATATCATTTATGTCTAATTGAGTTGGAGGAATATTATTCTCATCGGGAGTACAACTTTCACCGGGAGTAAAATCTAAAGGAGATTAAGGATATGAAGTATAAAGAGGTTGGCCATCTTGGGAATTAAAATACATATATAATGACCTATAAAAAGTTGTAATAGAGTAAAAATTAATAAATAGATATAATAGATAAAAATAATTTTATAAAACAAAAAAACCACAGATCTAACTCTAAATCTGACAAAAAATAACAAAACCGCAAAAAATATTAACAAAAAACGAAAGTTTATCAATAGTAACAATTTTAACCAAAAAAATTTATAATACATTAGAAATTTATAATAACATGGTATGGTTATGTTTTATTAAAATTCAAATTATCTTATATTAAAGTTTAGTTTAAATTTTTATATTGAGTTATTAACAAAGTTAATTTTTACAATTTTTAAAAATTTGTTTATTCACATTTTGTTACATAATATTTTTCGAGAGCATTTTACAAGATGCTACGTGGGGTATGTCATTCGTCCGGGGTGTGGAGAAGTGCCTCCAAGTTTCGTCATGTGGGGGAAAAGTCGACGAGTTGTTCCTGGACAGAAGCCCTTTTGAGCCCCGCGAGCGTGGGTTGGAGCTTGAACGAGTCCTTTAAGTACTACACGAAGAGTCAGTCGGACCTTGAGGAAGACCGAATGGAGGTTTCTCTCCTGAAAATTCTCCGAAGCTCAAGTCAATGAACGCCCTACCGAGAACAAATACTCAAAGAGTAATTCCCAAAGGGAAGAGGTCGGGGAAGTTTTCAGGAAAAGAAAGCCTGCAGGCAGGCGACCTCAATTCCTATGGTGTCGGAGTGGCAAGCATTTCCTCGAGAGGAGCATGCTGTTTTGTCGCACGACCCGCTGGGGGGGGTGGGGGGGGGGGGGGGGGGGGGGGGGGGGGGAGGACTGGCGAGGAAGACCCGTGGGTCTGCGAGACCGGAGTCTTGGAATCCCAGAGGAATAATATCCCGGAAGACGAGGAAGTCCACATGGGAGCATGCTTAGAACACCGTGCTGTCACCGGAGGGAGCTGAATGGTGAATCGTATGACT